TAACTCTTCCATTTCCAGATGCTGTCCAGAGCCTATTTTCATCATGAAAAATGCATGCAAAGCGTTTTCCCGGTACTCAAATGAACCTGGTACACCATACTTTGAGGTTTCGCATGAAAGAAAATATGTTAGACACTGCTGAAATAATTTGTGCACAGAAATGAGCTGAAACACATCCAAACACCACAAAAAAAAGACAGCTAATCTCAACAAACACTGCTCTCTGCTTCTACTCTCGCTATTTCTGTCAAACAGTCTAAAATAGTTAATTTACCTTTTTCCTGTGCTTATCTTTAAAAAACGCTTCTGAATGCAAACGCTCATAAACGCGGCTAAATGTGCATAAACGCGGTATGCAAACGCGGCAAAACTGACGTTTTTTTAACCTATGTTTTCCTGCTGTCAATTTCCAGCGTTCGGAAGAGTTCTCCAAACGCACCGTGTACATGAAGCCTTAAGATGAGACTACACACCAAACACAGCACTATAGGAATAAATGGGGCCATGTACACAGTTGTGCCTACGAACATGAATGTGATTTACATTTATCAGCAAACACAAAACATGTACAGCACAGCTGCGTCAGGAGCCATACATATCAGGCCCATTCACAGGGGTGTCTAAAACCACACATGTAGATGCGTACAGCATATAGTTTTGTATGCATCTAAATGCAACACTATAGGAATAAACTGGACCATACACACAACTGTATCTACAGTGCTGTGAAAAAGTATTTGCCCCCTGTCTGACACTTTTTTTTTTCATATTCGTCAGACTTAGAAATCAAATAAATTTTAATATTGCACAAAGATAACCAGAGTAAATACAAAATGCAGTTTTCAAATGACTGTTTCATTTATTAACCACTTTCCCTCCAAAGGATTTCCCCGCCTTCCTGACCAGGCAATTTTTTGCGATACGGCGCTGCGTTACTTTAACTGACAATTGCGTGGTCATGCAATGCTTCACCCAAAATAAATTTCTGCCCTTTTTTCCCACAAATAGAGCTTTCTTTTGGTGATATTTGATCGCCTATGCGTTTTTTATTTTTGCGCTATAAATAGAAAAAGACCAAAAACGCAAAACAATGTTTTTTTTTACTTTTTGTATTAGGTTTAGGAGGCAATTGCTTTTCACATAAGGCCAGGCAGGTTTGGACAGCGTTTTTCCCTTAATAAATCATCATTTAAAAACTGCATTTTGTCCTTACTCTGGTTATCTTTGTGTGATATTAAAATTTGTTTGGTGATCTGAATCATTTAAGTGTGACAGATTCGCAAAAAAAAAAAAAAAAAATCAAATACATTTTAACAGCACTGTATAATGCTGTACAACAAAAATGTGAGCTGTGTTTAATCACTTTCTGTGTCAGAGTGCAGGGTTCAGGAGTGTACAGAGTGCAGGGTTCAGGAGTTCAGGAGAATGTTAGGAGTGTGCAGTGTACAGAGTGCAGGGTTCAGGAGTGTGCAGTGTACAGAATGCAGGGGGTTCAGGAGTGTGCAGGAGTGTACAGAGTGCAGGGTTCAGGGTTGCAGGAGTGTGCAGGGTTCAGTGTGCAGTGTACAGAGTGCAGGGTTCAGGAGTGTACAGTGTACAGAGTGCAGGAGTTGCAGTGGAGTGCAGGGTTCAGGAGTGTACAGTGTACAGAGTGCAGGGTTCAGGAGGGTACAGTGTACAGAGTGCAGGGTACAGAATGCAGAATGCAGGGTTCAGGAGTGTGCAGTGTACAGAGTACAGGGTTCAGGAGTGTGCAGTGTACAGAGTACAGGGTTCAGGAGTGTGCAGTGTACAGAATGCAGGGTTCAGGAGTGTGCAGTGTACAGAGTGCAGGGTTCGTGATTGTGCTATGTACAGAATGTACAGTAAACAGAGGCCAAGGTCCAGCAGTGTGCTATGTACAGAGTGCAGGGGTGCGCTACTTACAAATTGCAGGGGTGCGCTACGTATTCATAGTGCAGGGTTATGCTATGTACAGAGTGCAGTGGTGCACTACATTTTCAGAGTGCAGGGGTGCGCTACGTATTCAGAGTGAAGGGTGCGCTACGTATTCAGAGTGCAGGGGTGCACTGCGCATTCAGAGTGCAAGGGTGCACAGCGCATTGCATTCAGAGTGCAGGGGTAAGGTGCGCGTTGCATTCAGAGTGCAGGGGTAAGGTGTGCATTGCATTCAGATTGCAGGGGTAAGATGCGCGTTGCATTCAGAGTGCAGGGGTAAGGTGCATGTTGCATTCAGATTGCAGGGGTAAGGTGCGCATTGCATTCAGAGTGCAGGGGTAAGGTGCACATTGCCTTCAAAGTGCAGGGTTAAGGTGCACGTTGCGCTCAGAGTGCAGGGGGAAGGTGCGCATTGCGTTCAGAGTGCAGGGGTAAGGTGCGTGTTGCGTTCAGAGTGCAGGGGTAAGGTGCGCGTTGCACAGAGTGAAGCTGCGTGGGAAGATTGATCTAGCAGCTTGGGAAATTTTATATATTTATGTTATTGGTTTGTTATATTTACCTTTTTTGATGGTGATATTGTCTGCATGTGACTTTTAGGCGCTGATTGAATATATTATATGCTGCGTTAATTTAACACCATGTGTACCTACTGACCACCTACCCCTACATACCTACCCCCTATACCCTACCAAGAGGGAGTGTTATCCACTGCACTGGAACTGTGAGTATTTACCAATCACTCATATACCCCACCATACCCTCCCCTATACTGGAAAAAAAATGCTTTTGAACGCTTTTAGCAGTTGTGTGGTCCTATGGTGGGATGGGTTAGGGGATGCAATACCAGCCTTGCCCTAGGAGCTGGCAACCCACGCTATACCACTGCTATACCACTGCATACTGTGTACAGATTGAGTTCCTATAGATATATATACCGTATATATTTTTTTTTATTGGTCAGACCAAACAGTTGTTTCCTTTATGTTTTTATGGCATATTAATTTTATTTATGACATGAGCATACAAAATACAATACAACAAAATAAAATAGCAAAGCACAAAAAGGTTATAGTACATGCGCTGGCATAGATATACACTAGGTACCAGGGGCAGACTGACAACTCATGGGGCCCCCGGGCAATAGGGGATCATGCGGCCCCTGTGTCCTTTCCCAAACTCAAAAAAGCCTATGAAAAAGGTACCAGGGGCATCTCATGGGGCCCCCTATTGACCTCGGGCCCTCGGGCAGTGCCCGAGTTTCCAAATGGTCAGTCTGCCCCTGCTAGGTACATTCCAGTAGTGCGCATAGATAATCGGTCGAAGTACATGCAGTAAATATCCAGACAAGAGTGAAATGGTGTGGTTAGGGACTCTGTACTTTTTGTTTGAACTTGCCCCACAAATGCTATATAATGGTATGAACTGTAAACAAGGTCCTCAATCAGTGGGGTATTAATATTAGGATGTTATTCGAATGTATCACCAGTGTATATTGCTTCATATATTGATATACTGCTGTGATGTTGTTCTTGGTCCTCAAGATGGCAACCGTTGATGAACTGAAGATGCGCAGAAACAGAGAGGCGCCGTTATGACGCGTGTATGTGATGACGCCTGTGCGCGGTGACGTCACAACGTCACGTATGTGGCGGCCATTTTATTTGCCAATACCTCTATATATAGAGGGAAAACAACTGATAGGTGCCATTTCTTGTCACCATGCGATACTGAGCACAGCTTCCTACCACCATATGATCTGATTATTCTTCATACTCCTGACAAAGCTTGGTATTTGGTACAAAACATGTAGAGTTCTTTTCTTTTTTTTCTTTGGGTCCTTTTGGGAGCATTTTTTGAATGCACATGGAATTTACTCCCCTCTTTTTTGGAGTGGTTTGCACTGCGCTTTTTAGTGCATTATTTGCATGCCTCAAGATAGTGAGGTATTTTTGACTAGATATGGTGATGTATGGAGCTTGTCCATTAGAGGCTGACATTAAGGCCCGTGGATGAGTGTACCCATATTACATATCCGTAGCAAGATAGATCATACTATCCACTTAGACCTGTCCTGGGGTAACTCTGTCTCTATAGTAGAGAATATATATTCCATCTCATAGGCTTACGATCAAACTACAGTGCTTTCTTGCCCCAACTTCATCCAGAACGGTATGTGATTTGACCTAGTTTGGGGTTGTAAACCAATTAGAAGTAAGTGATGGGCCTACTGACCAATAATTGCAATTGTATCCAGTTATATGACTGAGTGCAGTGTATTCCAGTCCAATAGGTCTTGAACTTATTACAGTTTAGTATACACAGTTATATAAATTTGAATAAAGGTTATATTTTAGATTCATTAATTGGCTAATTGGTGTGTAGGGGCACGCACCCTCGTTCGGTATGGATTCAAGACTGAAACCAATCATCATGATATAACAGTAGATTAACACTGTGTGACAGCTTTTTTAATGGGAGACTATATGTCAATGGCACACTATTTTTCGCTCTGTTTCTACAATGGTTTACTGTTACTTTTTTTTTTTTTTTTTTGCCCGTTCAGCACATCTCTTGTCATAAGCATGAATAAGTAAATAGAGATTACAAGGTCATACATGACTGGTGCTAGTTTATAGGAAGATACATATTATAATAGTTACACAGTTTTTGTTCAGGCTCGGTGACCTGTTTCACATAACTAACAAGTGAAATATGAACTTTTTATTGTAAACAGGATTACGGAAAAACACACTGAATTTATAAAAGGGGTGGGAGGCATTCCTAGGATTCACCCGTCCCTCTAAACCCAATGAACAAGCTGCCTTAGAAAAGAAATGAGCCGCTAATATTGCTGATAAATGTATAGAAAGAATTTCAGGAGCTTATCGGAAATGGAGGCTTTTGAGATAAGGTTGCGATTGTGTGTGAATGTTTTTCTCCTGTGCACAGTGACCGTCCTGTTAGTATCCCAGTGAAGGACATGGCAGACAGCTTTCATTGCTCCTTGCTGTATGTGATAGATAAACTGCAGGCTACAAAACAGGTTAACCCTCGGTTCACATCTATGTGGCCGTGCGGGCCGTGTTATGCGCGGGCATGAGAGCCCATTAATTTGAATAGACTCCCGTGCCCATGACACGCAGGGAAAGAAGTTCCTGCACTTCTGAAAACGCAGCCCGCACGGGAACCTCGGTTCCCAGTACGGTTGCGTTTTCCAGTGCGGGCGGCGTGCCATTAGAACTAATGGCACCCGCCCGTGGGTCCGCATTTCTCTGTTCGGGTGGTGCGGCTGCGCAGATTTTCTTGCGGATCCACAGCGGCACCACCCGCCCAGATGTGAACCTAGGGTAAGGGCCAGTTCACACTATGAAAAGACAGTCCAGATGAGTCCCGGATGCGTTTTGTGCATTTATGACACAGTCTGGTGCGTTTTGTATGCATTTTTTATGCGTTCCAGTGCATTTTATGCATGTAACTAGGGACATGTGCATTCCAGTGTGGTTTTGGTGCATTTTTGATGCGTTTTCCCACGTTCCAGTACAGTTCTGTGCAGAAAAAAATGCAGCATGTTTTTCTGCAACCGGAACTGGAAGCACTGATGTGAACTATGGCATTGACAACCATATAACCTACTTTCGGTGCGTTTTGCATGCAGCTGAAACGCATATAGTGTGAACTGGCCCTAAGCCTTGGTTCGTACCTATGCGGTTTTTAGTGCATTTTGCAAAAAGGCACTAAACATTTAACATGGTTTCCTATGGATCTACTTCACATCTGTGCATTTGAGCTGGTGCATTTTTTGGAAAGGGTCAGGGACTTCTTTTCCCGCAGCAGATTGCATTTTGCGTGTAATAGGCTTCAACAGACCCGCACCAAAAGTGTAAGTGTTGCATTTTTTATGCATTTTGCATTTTTTTGGGGGCTGATAGGAAAGTTTGACAGTTCTGTTCATGTAGTGCGACTTTGAAGTGACTTTACATTCTTTGGCACTCAAGTAGCATCAAAGTTGCATCAAAGTAGTGCAGAAATCTTTGTGTCCAAAGTCACTTACTAGGGTTAGGACTAAGGGCTAGGGTTAAATGTTAGGGTTAGCAGTATGTGTTAGGGCTAGCAGTAATTGTTAGATTTAGAATGATGACCCTGAGAATTGCCGCTGACCCTAACCCTAATGATTACCGCTAACCAGGGGTGGACTGACAACTCATGGGGCCCCCGGGCAATAGGGGATCATGGGGCCCCTGTGTCCTTGCACAAACTCAAAAACCCCTATGAAAAAGGTACCAGGGGCATCTCATGGGGCCCCCTACTGACCCCGGGCCCTCGGGCAGTGCCCGAATTTCCAAATGGTCAGTCCGCCCCTGCCGCTAACCCTAAAGTTTACTGCTAACCCTAGCCCATAATCCTAACCCTAACCATAATATTTAACCCTAACACGTGATTTTGGACACATAAAGGTTTCTGCACTAATTTGATGCTACCTTTGTCATACTGTCATACTTTCCTATAACCCCCAAAAAATAGCAAAACGCATCAGAACTGCATCAGAAATGCATCAAACGCGTTTAAAAAAGCACAGCAAAATGCACTGGAAAAACACATCAACTGCAACCTGCATAGATGTGAACCTAGGCTAAGTACATAAATGAGAGCTTTTTAACCTGCCAGGGGTTTCATCTTTGTGTCCATGCAGTCTAGGGATTTACGTAGTTCTGCCCCTCAGCGCAGATCTGTCTAGAAGGAGAATCTGCTGCAGTTTCACTTTTACTTACAGATATCTTCTCCGCCATCTGACTGGATAGTGAACTGAGAAGCAGTATATTAATGAGCTCATCTCTCTGTCACTCTGCTTTCTCCTACTATTAGCATGTTCCTTGCACTTCAGCCTACCTATTTGGCAATTTGTGCTGCTTTTGTTTACCCTCTCTGTGCTCTGCTGTATATTAGACTGCAAGAGACTGATATCAGGTCAAATTCAGGTGCTTACAATGCTTGCATTTAAAAAGTGCATTTAATGATGTATAATTGATTACAAAACTGCATTAATGTGTGCCTTTAATATCTGCCTATAGTGTCATTGTAATGAGCATGGTTTTTAATAACTCTATGTCTGGTGTGCTAGACTGGTGTGTTTAGAGAACAGGCATATTTTATAGCATTAAAAAATGTCAGATGTAAAAAAAAGCACTCCTGGCCCCCCCATCCTGCCAAATACCCCCAGAGGAAGCAGCTTGCTATGGGGGTACCCAAGCAGGCTCGCTCCCGAGTCACTGCTCTGTGTGTCCATTCACACACAGAGCCACGGCTCGGTCCTGCCTCCTCTTTCTCCTGATTGACAGCTGTGGGAGCCATTGGCTTACACTGCTGTCTCAGCAAAGAGTCCCTGGAGAGACTAGGCAATCATTCACATTGCTTGATTGTGAAGGGCTCAGGTAAGTATTCGGGGTGCTGCCTCACGCAGAAGGTTTTTTACCTTCATTCATAGAATGCATGAAGATAAAAAAAAAAAAAGAGCCTTTACAACTACTTTAAAAATGGTGCCTGAGGTGGTATCTGCCCTGAGTTTGCTTTTCCTACATCTTCATTGTAGTGAATTATATTGCCTTGCTCTGTGATTTTTAAGTTTGCTATTGTTTCTTTGGTGCCTCATGCCACACAATGTGTTTGATTCTTTCAAAGTGATGCCACCTGCTAATGACCCAGTTACCATGGCATCTCTTGTATTTGTGACCCACGTATGGAGGTGTGAGAGAGCAGTGGGAGTCAAAAGCTGAATAGCTTTCAAATCATATTTTACTGTTGTAAATAAGAGTGAAGTCATTGTTCCTATACATTTCTGGTAATGCTTGGTCAAAACGGATTCTACAGATGTGCTGAGTCTTAAGCGATGACTAAACCCAAGAACAAAATTGCAGTTTACTAGTCTTTGTTGTGATGGCTGCATTAGTTTTCTTTTCAGGTTAGGAAGACTTTTGGCGAATGCAGAAAATACCTGTTGATTTTGCCAGAAGTGCAGTGTCCATGTCCTTCCTGTATGCTGAACTAAAAGCACACATACTGTTATCTTTGTACTGTAAATTACTAATCTCCCTATCTAATGGAGTTAAACAAAAGCAGACTTGGTTGTAGTCTGACTGGAGTGACAACCATGGCTCCCTCAAAAGATACAGAGGAGGAGTAAAGCTGGTCATACATGCATAGATTCCTTTTATTCAGCCTGCGGACCCCTTGACCTTAAGGAAAGGGAGATTGACTGCTGGAAACATGCCTAAATAGGAAGGCTTCGGAGGAAAGTTGCCCTCCCGTGGGCTGCCCAATCAAAGGAATTAAAGGGTCAAGATTGACCAAGGTCAAGGGGGATAAGGAAGTTTAGAGAGACGTTAATGCGTGGGGTCACTGGCCTCCAAATGGAGACAACCAGCCATCAAGCAAGTGTACTTGTGACCGGCACTAAGTTACTATGGATTTATGTTTCTTCAGGAAGTTTAACACCATCTCCCACTGGTCTTTCAAGTGGGCTTGAAGGTGTTGAGGCTTCTGTATCATGTGACTGATATGATTGGCCCTCACAGCAGTTACATGGTTGGGAGCCCATCTGGCTGCATGGCATGTTTGATCTGCTATGAATTTAGGGGTGACCACACACTTTTGTTTGTGGGGTCCCTGGCTGACAGCTGAATGGTTATGTATCCATTAAATTCAACAGTTGTAAGTACCCAAATTTACAGTGTTGGTATCAGCCTCCTGTTTCAGCACTGATATTTGGAGAGCAAGGGTGAGCACTGGGAGCCAATCAGGGAGGGGGGAGGAGGAAGGAAACACACAGGCTATGGGGCTGTGTGCTTCTATTGATGTAAACAACGTAGGGACACAGCTGTAGTCCCTGCATACAAGAGTGGCTCCATAGTATGCTGCAATAGGAAAGAGACACCCTGAAACAGGAAACCTGGGGCAGTAGTCATGGAACCAGCTTAAACAGGAACATACAGTAAGTAAGGACTAAAAGATATATATAAGCTGCATACTCAGTAATTGATTAAATGAGCTGCTGAAAGTGCTTAAAAACTGATAGTAAATATATAATGGGCCTCCTGCGCTATTATGTCCCCTGTCGCTAAAGCAGCTAGCACTTGAAATGCCACAACCAAGGCACAAAATACAATGCAATGAAAATTCAATAAATAGTGCAGCGCTAGAAATGGTAGAATGCTAATACACATATAGAAAAAGCATGCAATAATGGTGATACCCCTAACATGGGGTGTATCTGTGTCCACTCTCAGTACTGTGAGCAATATATTATAGTGCAGTCCCACACACATGCTGTACAGTGAAGTCCCCACGTTATATCAAACACATGAATGGCTCTTTGTGCATGTGCTCCACACTGAGTGCAAACAAACGGGATGTCAATCCGCAGTGACAGGGGTGCCCCCTCACCTTCCTGCCCAGGCCCCTCAGAACCAATGAGCCAAAAGATGCTTAATTATTCCTCCACAGCCCGTCAGATCCTCCTCAGCAGTGGTGGTGGGACCCTCTCATTAGCACTGAAACCGGAACCTCTCCACATACGTTCCCATCTAGGCAAAGAAATCCAGCATAGTGTAAAACCATTTATTAGAATAAAACGCTAAAACAGAATTCCTACTCACACTTTAGTAGTTACAAAACAACTTTTTCACCACGCTATGGGTGTACTGCATGCATGGACTCTGGTAAGGTGTACCAAGATGGCCCCTGCGCCGGACGTGACGTCACCGCGTCAGCCGCGTCACCCCTACGACTCCTCCCACGAAAGTATCTACGCGTTACGTCACGATTAGACCACGTGACTTCATCAGGATCTGATGAAAAACTGATGGTTTTGCCAAAATTGTTATACTATTTTTGCACCCTCCCAGTGCGGGTTCCTCCTCATTTCTTTCGGTTGATTCAGGCGAAGATTATGTGTTTTATCTGGGCTGATAAGCGCTGCAGAGTCTCCAGAAATACGCCTTTTGTTCATAGACTCCAGGGTGGTCTTGGGGTGCCTAATGTAACTATGTTGCACGCTTCCTCGGATGTTCCTCTCTGGATCCTGCTGGAACTACCTAATTGTGCCCCTATTGCGACATTGACGCTTATATGGCTTCCCCCTGCCCTACTCCCTATGGCACTGAGTCTGATTTTGCTCCATGGCTTACAAAAGTGTGGGACCTGGTACGTTACTCCAGTGGCCTGATGTCACTGTTCCTACCTTTGCTCCCAATTATTAACAACCCTCTCTTCCCACCGGGTTTAGATCAACCAAGGGCGTTTTCTTGGTTGGTGGCCAATTGTTTTTTGAAGGTGTGACACTTTTTGACTTCTCGGTCCTTCCCCACTTGGAATTCTCTTTGGGAGTTACGGGATGTCCCTCCGTCAGAATTTTTTTTTGTTACCTTCAATTGCGGCATTGGATGACCTCACTGCGGGGCACTTCCGCTTTCCCGTACCAGAAATCTGCCTTTGAACTGCTTTGCCAACAGCGTCCGTGCGGCCTGGGCCTTATTTCCCTTCTTTATGCAGCTTTAAACAGACGCTTGACGCATACTTCTCTCTCATATGTCACTCAGTGGGAGTGCGACCTGGGGGCAGTTGTGGATCTGGAGGACTGGAATAGGGCCTGTTTGCTTATAGCTAATTGTTCATTTAATACGACCACGCTGGAGGTGGCACACAAGGTATTGTTTCGTTGGTATTGGGTTCCGGCTTGTTTGCCTGCAGTGATCGATGCTTTAGGGGTTGTGGCCATCGTGGTGATGTATTGCATATCTAGTGGTCATACCCGAGACTGTTTTGTTTTTGGTCTTGTGTGTTTGGCCTCCTTTTCACCTTGTTCCATCTCTCCATACGCCGGGAAGCTCGGTATGCTTTGCTTCATTGTCCCATACCGGGCCTCTTGGCTCATCAGCAGAAGTTGGCTTCCTATTTGTTTTTGTCGGTCACTAGAACAATTGCTCAGGCATGGAAGAGCCCGTTTGTCCCTCTTCAGGGGGTGCAGGACCATATGACCACTAGGATGCTCAATGAACAGATGTCAGGTATCTGTAACGACTCCCAACGGAAATTCTTGAAAATATGGGAGCCGTGGTTGCAATATGCCTTTCCCATGCTCCCCCCGGCTAGTCTGGGGTTGTGATGTTGCTCGGTATTGACGTTCTCGGACCCCTGCTCTTGGTCTTGTCATCTTTTTCCTTTTGTACTCCTCCTTCCTTTTCTTTTTTTTATTTGTTTTTGGTGTGGCAGTGGATAGCTGCCTTTGGCTTGAGTTACTGTCGGTGTTATACCACTGTTTTTGTCATTTATGTGCCATTGATAGCCCCTGCGTGGGCGCACCTTTTGCTCTGTTGGTGTTAGAGCACTGTTTTCTTTATTTTTTTTATGTGCAATTGATTGCCCCTGAGTTGGCATGTTTTGTTGCTACTGTCTTCTTAAACTGTTTATAAATTAATAAAAACATTGAAATACAAAAACTGATGGTTTAATATCAATTTAACATCTCCCTTCAAAAATAGGTAAAAAATTTTTTGTAATAAAAAAGGCAATACAGTCTTCTTGCTCACCTTCTTTACAGTGCATTGATTTCTGTAAGATTACAGTGCACATTTATAAAATTATAAATATGCTCTTAAAATTGAGTTTCTCATTCTAAA